GAACCCACGAGCTACATCCTAGTCCTTTTCACTTTTTATTTTGGGACAGAGTCTTGCCAAATTGCTCAGGCTGGCCTCCAACTTGCGATCCTCCTGCCATAGCCTCCTGAGTAGCAGGACTACAGGTGTGTGCCACAATCCTGACTTGGACTACTCAGTTTTGAGAGCAAGTTACAAAGGGTTTGCATGTTCTTTGGTGGGCTCTGAGGGGCCATGGTAAGGGTGATGTGACCTGAACCTGCAAGTGGATGGTCAGCTCCACCTGCCCCTCATCCACGATGCAGCGACTCCTCTAGCCAGGGTGGGTGGGTGAAAAGAAAGGTCCTCACCTCTTCAGAAAGACTCTGCCAGGACAGAGCTGCAGGTACGTCAGGACTCAGTTGGTCTGAGCTCCCCTCACTGACCCCTCATTCCACCTCCAGTTCACCCTGATGCGCGGCATGGGTTCTGAGGGTGCCTAGGGACCCTGCGTGGTGCTGTCCAAGGTGCTGAAGCAATGTCTCCCCTTTAAGTATTCCCTTTGGAATGACTGGAACCCCCCTCCCACACACACTGTTTCTGTTGGGCAGAGAATTTCATTCTCATTTTACAGGTGAGAATCAGAAAATCCAAAGGAGGGTACCCAGAGCTATGAACTTGCTTATGACCTTCCAGCCCAAGACTATCCTCCCCACTGGGAAGCCCTAGTGAGATTCACCAATGGATGTCCCCAAATAATGCCATTGCTGCTGCTGAGCTAACGGGTAACATGCCCAGGGTCTCTTCCCACCTTCATCCCCATGTCTGTTCCCCAAATGCTGACATGTCCACCTCACAGTGCCTCCTGGGACTGACTGATCACTCAGGGTGATGCACAGGTGCTTGGGTGGATCTGCCTGCAACAGCTAGCTCATCCTGACACTGTGTGTGTGTGTGCGTGTGTGTGTGTGTGGGTGTGTGTGGGTGTGTGTGTGTGTGTGCATGCCAGGACTTGGGGAAGCAAGTCCCCTCACCACCCTAAAAACTTAGCATTTCTACCAGGGATCTATTATGTTCCAGGCACTAAGCTGTGAGTTTTCTGCATGAAGTTTCCCACTCTCACAGCTAAAGTCTCCTGTAACAGATGAGGATATTCAGGCTGAAGCAGGACAATGACTTGCCAGGAGGTGGGAAAGCCAGGATTTGAACACATATTTGTGTGGTTCTACAGTGCCCCTTCCATCAGAGCTCATCAGCTAACAAAAGAGCTTTCGGGGGCTCCCGCCACTACTGGCTTCTTAATCCTAGGTGAGTCACTTATCCTGTTGGAACTTCAGCTCCTCCATTTGCAAATCGAGGAAAGTGCTCGTGTACCGCTGCAAGGCTCCCGGGAGGCATGGAGGAGATGATGTAGGCAGCACGGACTCAGTGTCGCTGCTGGTGTGGGAAGGATTATTATCAGAGCACGACTCCTTGGTGGTGGCTGGATGGGCGTCCAATGAGCCTTTGCATACACATCCCGCCCCAGTCCTTAGCAGAATACATATCCAGTGTTCTGGTGAGAGGGGAGAGGGTGAGGGCCAACATGCCCAGCACGCCTGCTTCTTCCCCATGTCCCTGTGCCCTCTGGAGGTGGGGACCACCTGGCTGGAGCAAGCAGGTCACTGAGGTCCCAGGGATGGTTCTGGACTATCTCATCAGCACTGTGCCTGGTGGTGTTGAGCCCAAGACCCCTCCCAGCCCTCAGAGAGTTGGCATTCATAGAGCTGCACGACATCCTGGTGGGAGGGGACAGCTGAGGATGTGGCCTCCTATCCATGACCAAGCATGTTGACTACTCACATCTGACAGCAGGCAAGACTGCTTGACTCCTTCTATCTTACAGATAAGGAAACTGAGGCCCAAGAAGGTGTCCAAGGTTACCGAGCCTAGGGTGAAGGTCTCTGAACTCCCAGAGACTGGATCTTTTAATTAGCCCATCGCCAATTCCCTATCCTAAAGCCTGTTGGGAAACAGACAAACCATCCAACAGACAAAGGCACATCTAATTATTACTGACTACGGGGTAGTTTAAGGGGAGTGTGCTCTGCAGATKTATTGTCCCATCCCCCACTTTGGCCAGAGCTGGCTAATTTCAGGAAGTCACATACTTGGGAAGCTGGGGTGAGGGTGAGAGTAACAGTATCCCCCTTGGAGCCTGGTGCTTGCAGAAATGAGTCACTTGCTTGCTAAGAGCCACAGCCAAGTAATATGATGCATGGCATTTTTGGTTGAAAGGTGACGCCAGCAAGCCATTGAGATGATATGATTATGTTAAGATCTGCATTCATATGGATATTGGACTCCTGCTGTCCACCTCGGCCTGCTACGGGACTCCTGGAGAGTTCCCATTGGTTGGGGAAGTGCGGTAGGAGGGAATTCCGGAGGAGGGACTTCCTGTTGGGGTCCGAGAACGCCGCATAGGTCGGTTGGCAATCCCCCGGGAGCATGCGGGGCATTGGCGGCAGTTTCAAAAATAAAGTTTGTTCCTGCTTGAGTGGCTCGTGATTTTGTGCCCAGCCAGACTGTGGCACTTGCTGGTTGAGAAGAGTTGACTGTGCTGTAATCACCTTGAGGGGACCCTGCCTAACACCCAACAGGGCCCCAGAAAAGCCTTTCCAGGTATAATGAGGCTGAGCAGGAGATGAATGGCAATTCACGGGGTCTTACCAGGGCAGCGTGGCTCACCATCTGTCTTCCTCCTGAGCCCCAGGCAGGAAGGACTCCACTGTGAGATGATGCCAGCAAGCATCAAGCCCCCCAGAGTTCAAGGACAGGAAGTAATTTGCATCCCAGATGGAAGGCGGTGGCCTGGCCTCTAGACTAGTGGAGCTCTGGCTGGAGGCAGTGAGCACAGCAGCCCTTCTCCCCAGGCCCTCCCCGCCCCTCCCAGGCCCTGATTTTCCCTTCTTCTGAGGAACAGAGATTAAGCAGGGATCTGGGGGTGAAAAGGGGGAACAAGGAGGTGGGGCTCTCAGGGCACCCAAGACGACGCACATGAGCAGACCGTGACACCCCTCAACGAGTCCCACCCGCTTGGTGCACACGCCTTTTTGCTCTTGCTTTCCCTCATGTCCCCTGGAAGTGTCTATTTTCCCAATTTTTTCGTCCATGGAGTCCACATAGCAGATCATCTTGGACATCCGTTGGTTCAGCTCCCCTGGCCACTCACCATGTACACTCGCCCAAAGTCACAGAATGACAGAATGTTCACGCTGGAACTTGGCTAGGGTCGGGACACCCCATTAGCAGTCGGGTGCAGTCAACTTCAATCTCTTGATCATTTGGTTCTGTGAGATTTTTAATCCCAAGTAATTATTCTCTCCTACCTAAACCCCAAACCTAGGGTGCTACCATTTTTCCATGGAAGTTATGGACCACCACTCACACCATTTCAGGCCAACTAGAAGGAAACCTCTAGAAGGAACAGACATTTTCCCTTTAAAGACACCAAAGAGTTTGTTTTCACCCAGCTTTATCTTTACTGAGGAGGAGGAAGAGACGCTAGGCCATGATTTGTCGTGCTTTGCAGACCAGGGATGACCTGCCCTCAAAAGACAGTGTCACCAAGTAAACAAGCCCCTCTCTTGCCATTCTCATGACAGGGCTGTCTTGCAGACAGTGGGTCACCACCCTGGCAGCACACTGGCTTCAGTCAGATCACACCCAGACCAACAGGGCCAGGTATCAGTGCAGCCCCCGACCAAAACCACAGCTGTGCATTCCCTTCCTCCGCAGGGTGGGGACACACCCGCAGCATCAATCAGCTTGTCAAAGCTGCAGAGCCTCAGGCCCCACCCAGACCTGCCACTTCTGAACCTGACATTCAACAAGGCCCATTGCTACAATGGCTCTGGGTGGCCTTTCTCTACACCAGTAAGCAACCTCGAAGGCAGGTGTTCCATTTCACAGGTGAGGAGGCAGAGCCTAAGAGAGGTTAAGCCGCTGGCCTAAGGTCACACCGCCAGTGAGTCGGACAGCTAGGATGTGACGCAGATCTGTTTCCAGAAGCCACACTCTTACACTGCACAAACCACTTCCTATAGCACAATTAAAAAAAAAAAGTCTGGGGGACGTGTGCACGGGGGTCCTTGGCCTCACAGCGAATGCCCCACCTTTGAGTAGGATTCTACTTCCAGTGTCAAGTTCCCCAGAATCAAACCTCATAAAGACGAGCATAATTCATGAGGAAACCCAAACAGTAAACAAACACGTGGGGAAAATGTTCACTCTCCCTAGTAATCAGAGAAATGCAAATTAGAGCAACAGTGAGGAACCATTTTCTACCTATCTAATTAGCAAAGATTTTTTTTTTTTTTAATGTTAGCGAAATTGAAATAGGTATACTCACAGACTACTGGTGACAGTGTAGATTTATATAACCCTGCAGGAAAGTGATATGGCAACATCCATCAGGAGCCATAAATATATTATGCCCACTGACCTGGGAATTCACCCTAAGGAAATAATTCAATAGGCGTGGGGGGAAGTGGTAGGAACCGGCTCACTGCGAGCCGGCTGTGAGCGCTGGCATCAACTTCATATTCAGCAGTAAGGGAATGGCTGAGCAAACTGGGGGTTCACGGGCTCCTGCAGTTCTGCAGCCATTTAAGATGATAATTAAGACGCAGCAACATAGAAGTGTAGGTGAAAGAAGGCAGAACACAAAACAGCCTATGTGCGCTGCGGGTATTATGATGTAAAAATGTCACCCTCATGAGGACAGGACAGGGAGGAACTGGGAGGAACTGGGCACAAAAGAAAGCTAGTGTTTCAGAGCAACACAGAAGGTGATGGAGTGACCTCCTCCGCTGTCGCTTTTACAATGACAAACCCCAGCCCTTGGAGGACAGCCTCAGGGGCTCTCCTGTCATGGTCTCTCTGAAGGGGACACAGGAGACACTTGTGTCCTTCACCCCTGGGCAAAAGGCCAAACCCCTCTTGCCAGGGGGGAGCTGACCTGGAAGTGGTCAGGGAGGCCATGAGGGGCCGTCCTGTCTTACCATGAAGCCTGGGGCACAGGTGCAGCTCCCAGTGACGCTGTGGCAGTCGGCACCGTTCTGACAGGTGCAAGGCAGCTGGCAGCCATCGCCGTAGTAGCCAGCAGGGCAGGACTCATTGCAGTGGTGGCCAGACCAGCCTGGCTGGCAGGTACAGGCTCCAGTGACGGGGTGGCAGCTGAGTCAATGAGAGAAGGGGGACAGTCCGTCAGGGTTGTAGCCATGTCCCATATTCTGCTCACCCTGAACCTGGTCTGCTCAGCATAGCCGGATTGAAGGACCTGGGAGGTTAAATGGCTCCATGCCTTGTTTGTTTATCAGAAGATACCCAGACCACATGAATGGCCTCATGAGTCCCCAGAAACAGGCTCAGGGTGGTTATGTAATTTGCCTAAAGTCACACAGCAAGGATTAGCTTGTAGCAAGATCAGGATTAGAATCCAGACCTTCTGACTCCCAAACATGTACTCTTTATGAAACAAATACACAGAGACCAGAGTCTCTAGTCCCTCGTCATGAAGGCTACGTGGTCCAGAGTTTCACACACACCTCACCCAAGGCAGATCCCTAGTGTGGCCCAAAAAGATGGCAACGACACTCAGGGCCTCCCCGACTTGCAGGTGTTTGATGGATGTCAGATGAATTAAGACCAGACCCCAGGGCAGATGTGGCCTTCCCTCGCAGGCAACATCTGCACCACAGAGTCCCCCGAACCTGTGCTTTGCTAAGGCCCTTTCATGGCAGATGGGCTCTTTCTGATCCAACGAGGCCAGAGAAAGGACCATTTGGCTGGAGGCGGGTGCTGCCTGGCTTGACCCCAGAGAGGGCAGCAACCTCTGGCAGGCAGTGATCCAGCAGCCAACGCCCATTCATGGTCAGGGGGATGCTGGATGTGCTGCTCGGAGCTCCTACAGGAGTGCGACACGGACGGCCACAGCTGCTGCGGCCAAAATCCCGAGGCCACATTTCCCTCCCACTGCTCCACATCAGGGACACTAAGGTGGGCAGCTGCTGGGTGAACTGGCCTTCTCTGGTGCTCACCTCTGGTTTCAAGGCTCCCCCTGGAACCAACYTTTCCTAGAACGGCTGGGAGCTGAGGCTGTTCCACCCGCTTCCTTCCTTTCCTCTCCCCTCCACGCGGGTCAGAGCTGCATTGCGGTCAGACGGCTCCCTCCCCGTTTTCCTTGCACACAGATGTGTCCCCTAGTAAATCGTTGGCATTTGGCATATGCCTCTGGGACTGCCCAGACTCACACACCAGAAAGGAGCTGGATGGTGGAAACAAGCCTCAACACTCCCCGAGTGTCCCCTGCTCTGGAGTCCAGCTCCCGGGAAACTATCCAGAGAAATGTGCGCTGGGCTGGCAGGAGCGGCCACCAGGCCTCTTTCTGCTAAGTTCCAGGAGGGCGGGGCTTTGTCTTTGGGCCACGGATGGGTTCCCAGGTCCTGGCTCAGAGTCACTGCCCAATTACATATTTGGGAGTGAGCACAGCTTTCCCTGAGTTTGATTGTATTCTGCGTCTGTTGACACATCTGTCACCGGGGCGCGGCTCTCCGGGGGGAGTCCTTGTCTGTCTCACTTACCTCTCAGGGCCTGGCAGGGGTCCTGGCACAGGGGAGGCACTTAATGTATATTTGACGAATGAATTAATGAACCAACTAATTATGTGCAGCCCAACCAAGCAGCTTCTCATCTGGGGGCCCTGGTTTTCTCACAGAAAATGAGGGGGTGGACAGAGGCAGACGATTCCTGAATAGTAAGTGCAAGTAGCTAATAATCATTTTGGAAGATGTTTAGTCTCATTAATCATCAAGTCAAAACAACAATTGGATCTCACTTTTTTCTCTACCAAAACAGTAAAGATGGTTTTTTTTTTTTTTTTTTTTTTTTTTTAATGCTGGTAAAAATTTCAAAAATGATTTGAGGTTACGTGTCAGGAGACCTAAAAATGTTCTGACGCTTTGGTCTCGTAATTCCATTTCTAAGAATCTATCCTAAGGAAATAATCAGAGTCATGCAGAAAGATTTATGCACAGAGATGTTCCCTGAAGCATTATTTATAACTGTGGAAAATGGAAGCAATTTGAATAATAATAAATAATATGTGACCAGGCTATTAAAGCACCAGGCACTTTACACACATATTTCTAACCTTCAGCAGGCCTGTGCATTAGGAATTTGAGCTTTTGCACAGAGGGCAGCTGGAGGTTGCATGACTTGTCCAAGGTCACACAGCAAATGGGTGAGTGGTAGAGCAGGGTCTATCTGGCCATATTGATCTTCTGCCTCAGGCTGTCTCTGACACCAGGGTGATGGTCAAATGAATGATGATCATCCGCATGAAGGAATGCTAGAGAGGGATCCATTCGTTTTCAAGATATTTAATGACATGACACAGAGTTGTTATGATCTGCATCTGAAATGTCCCCAAGTCTCTTGTATTGAAGGCTTGGTCCCCAAGGCAGCAGCCTTCACAGGAGGGGCTTTTGGAAAATGATTGGATCATGAGGACGGTCACCCCACCAGGGGGTTAAACTATCTGATGGGTTCATTCTTAATTTTAATGGATTATTGGGAAGTGGTGGAAACCGTGAGGTGAGACCTAGTTGGAGGAAGTAGGTCCCTGGGGTGTGCCCTAGAAGGACATTTCTTGTGTGTGGTCTCTTCCTTTCTCTCTTCTCGCTCATCTTCTCTCTCTCTGAGGAACTTCCCTTTGCCATGCTTTTCTGCCATGATGCTCTGCCTCGATCCAGGCCCAAGGCCATGGAGCCAGCAGACCATGGACTGACGCCTCTGAGACCATGAGCCAAAAACAAATCTTTCCTCTTCTAAGTTGTTTCTCTTGGGTTCTTGTCACAGTGACCAAAAGCTGCCCAACACATGTTAGTGAAATAAATACATTCCGTACAAAGTCATGATCTGAAATATGAAAAAGTGAGATAGACACAGACATGGATGAAGAATGAACAATTTACGACGAAATTTTGTGCTGACCTCTAAGTTTAGAAATTATGAGTGACTCTTTTAAGTTTTTTCGTTAAATGTCTATGTATTCTCTAACTTTCCGAAACTGAGTGTCTTATCAAATTTATAAACAGACGCAAAACAATTAAAAATTGTAAATATGTAACAAAGAAGCAATGGGTGTAAGGGATGAGTTCTTGAAACTTTCTGACCTTCACATTCTAGAATCAACACCCCGTCCCCCTCCGAATATTGATGGGCACAGATGCCATGGGCAGAACCCACTTGGTGTCCCTGACCCTCCGCCCTCTCCTCTCAAAGCCCTTAGGCAGAGTCTTTCCAGGTTTCAACTTTCCAGGGGCCTCTCTGGGATTGAGGCTTAGGGTAGGGGGACCGGCTCAGTCACGGTCATGAGGGCTGACACGCTTGGACCCAGGAACGACCCAGTAAGTCCTGGCTGCAGCCACTGGCCCTCCCCAGTCCTGGAGATTCTAAAAAGGGTCTCAGGCACTTTCCTGCTCTTCTCCTCAGAAGAGTCTTCTGCTCTGCCTCCAGAAGCATTGGGCTGGAATTCCACTTCAGGCTCTCACTGTGGCCAGGGTGTGGCCCCCCGAAAAACACACCTGCTCACGGTGCAAACCACACGGACTGCGCAGAGCTTGCCTTTCCGCCTTTGATCTCTGCCGCCATCCTTGGCTGCTTGGAGACTGTCTAGATGCTAATTTTACTCTCCACTCTGGGAAACAGAAGGCCCAAGACCAGATCTGAAATCATCCTTTTCTTTCTGCTCTTCACATCTCTAGGATACTATTTCCAAAAATGAAATATCTGTGTTCTTAATTTCAGTATTTGTCTTATCTTATAAAACTCCAAAAGTCCTTTTGAAAAGAGCATGGGGGAATGGACAGCTGGGGACCGTGGTCACTGTGCTCACGCCTTTGTCCCTCTGGAGGGGGACTTGCACGTTCCCTGCTCCCAAGCTTCTCTTCCTCCCACCTTGAGTCCYAGGCCCCTGAGGAGGCTCAGGCGAGACCCACTATCACTGTGTGCAGGCTGGCTCCAGTCTCTCTGGTTTCCCCTGCTTTTCTCCTGTTTTCCCCAGAAAGAGATTAATCACAGGCTAATGGGAACTGAAAGATGGACAACGCGGGAATCTTCTCAGAGTGGATTTTTCTGCCTTCCTCTTGGCTGYGCTGAGATTTCCATCAAGGCCTCATCTGTTGGCTAAATCAAATCTTGCAGAGGTAATACATGATTGYGGCTTCTGGCATTGGTCTATGACAATCCAATTGTGGAGGGGACACTTGGAGGCCTGATGCTCAGKGTGCTCTTCCTCAAGGTTACTCCTTTATGAAGGAGGGTGGCTTCTTTGTGTGTGCTACAGAGTTGATGGAGTGGGGAAGCTCCYGGCCACTTCTTCCTTCCCAGGGTGTGACGTGACCCTGGGAAGCAGCCTGGGTGGGGGGTGGGAGCACAGAGAGGTTGGGCTGGGTGGGCCGGACTGTGCTTGGCTGGCCTCAGGAGTACTTTGTCTTAAGACCTACAAGCCATTAGGGAGCAGGAGGCTTTGTGGTAAGTTGTGCAGAAGTTGGGGGGAAATGAGATGTGGCTTCCAGGGATCTCACCTTCATCTCTTGGGGAGTTGGGTGGCAATTTCACTTTCAAAGACCACTAGAGAGGTTTCCCCCACTAGGCTGATGGAAAGTGATGGACAGGCGGGAAACGGGCCTAGAGGGGAGAAGAGCCGGACATTTTCATAGACAGAGGTCGGTCTGAGGCCAGGACCTCAGGTCCAACACCCACCCCGTAGCGCGACTTAACTGCTTTGAGATTGGGAGTCAGAGAGTCGCTCCTTTGCTTTTCTTGAATCCCAAGAGAAGCCTCTGTAATGGGTCAAAGGCTCATGAGGAGAGAGGGGCTGACCTGTGTCCACTCAGAGGGGAAGAGCTCTTCTCTGTGTCCATGAGATCAAAGCCAAGCGCAGCATGAAGGAGTCCAGCTAGAGCAGAGGCTGTCAACCTCAGACCGTCTCACTTCCCACCTGACCTGGGGAGTTGGCAATGACTGGAAGCATTTCTGATGGTCACAACTTGGGCATGGGAAGGGGACACCACTGTTATTCTCTGGGTAGAGTCCAGGGATCCTGCCAAACACTTCACAATGCACAGGACAGCCATGTGCAACCAAGGACCATCCAGCCCAAAACGTGAACAGTGACAGGATTGAGAAAGCCTGAGCTAGACAGAACCAAATAACGTTTGGGGGCCCAGCCACTGGGGCAGTGTGCTAGGAGAGAGGGGTGAAATGTCAAAGAGCAAAATTAGGCAGACATCAGGTCCCGTGCAGAACACCTGGAGAGATGAGCTGTTCAACATGAACGCAGTGACGCTTTTTCACTGAAGACCTACTCTGTGCCAGGCGCTGTGCAATACTGACATAGCAGCCACAGAAATGGACAAGCCAGGCCACTTGTGCCCTCAGGGCCCAGGCGGTGACAAAGCTCCCCTTCAGTGAGAACATGAATTCTGAGGAGCATGCCTGGGGTGGCCTGGAAGGCACCTCGGAGCCCCCACTCCCAGGAATCGCTACTGCCTCCCAGTCCCTGAAACATGACATGCGTTAAAGACAGTAAAGCAAATAATCATTAATATTGGATGGGCTGAGATTAGCGACAGAGAAGAGGGAGTCCTTCCAGATTAATAATGCATGGAGGACTCCTTCAGAGGAGAGATAAATTATGCAGGGCACGGTTGCTCAGGCACGGGAGGAAAACAATAGCTCTTTAATTTGGGGCTTGGCTGGATCTCTGTGGCAGAGACTCCCCCTGCACTGGAACTCAGCAGAAGCCTTGCGGAAGCCTTGGAGCCTTCCTTGTCTTCCCAGCGGGGGTGGGTGTCYCCGTGTGGTTCTGACAATTGGAACAGAGGCAGCTGCCCATTCCCTGACCAGCCACATGGGGCCCTGTGTTGAACGCCTGCTCTGCAGACCCAGCCCAGTTGCCACCTYCTCCAGGAAGCCTTCCCRGACCAGGGTAGCAGTCTCTAACTAATGGTAGGTGTGGTTAGGTGAACAGAATTTTCCTTCCTCAGCAGGATAGAATATAGAGCTGTGCCTCTGGTGTTGTCTTGTATTTGAAGAAAAATGGTGAAATGTACTCAGGGTGAGTGAGCACTCACACCTGTTCCTGAGGGCCACCTCATGGCCCAGCCCTAGAGCACTCAGTGTTTGTTGAATGAATGAATGAGCGAATGAATCCCAGGTCACGTAGAGCTGGGTTTCTGGCTCCAGCACCTCTCTGGACAGTCTCCTTCCCAATTGCCACCCTTGCTTAGAGCCACCTCCGCTGAGCCCTGAGGACCATTTTCATCTAAGCCATGACACACGCTGAGGGGCCTCTGCTTGCAGTGACCAGAGACTCCTAGGTGACCTGTGAAAAACCAAGCTGGCAATGAAGAAGGGCAGAGGCTGAGTCCAGCTGTCCTGGCACCAGGGCTGCAAACTGAGTGTACTCTGCTCCCCCAACAGCAGCAGCACCACTGCCCAGAGCAGCCAGGGCCCCGGGGGCTGTCCACAGKCGGAGGGAGAGGGGTGCTCCCCGCATCTGCTCCCACCAGGTGAGAGGCAGCCAGAACCAAGGGCTGGGTCTGGCTGATCAGCAGAGGTGACTCAGGCTGGGGCATGGTGAGGGAGGGAGGAGCCTTCAGGGGCAGCCTGGGGCAGCCTGGTTTCTCTACTTGCCAGGTTCGGGCTCCTTTGGCAGCAGGGGCCAGCTTCTGCTCAGGTGCCCCAAGCTACAAAGGACTGAGAAGCAGGGAAGAGCAGGCCCCACGCTGAGGCCCTGATGAAGGGCTGGCTTCTGTCCCTCCTGTTCCTCTACCTTGCCAGGACCTCCTGGGACAACGCTCCCTGGGCCCCAGATGGGTCATACGGATTGTTAAGGTCCCTTCTGGTATCGGCTCTCTGTGGTGCAAGGCCCTGTGGTCACCACGCCCTCTYCCTGCTGCGGTGTGTGGGGTCCCCGAGAGCCCCCGTCTGAGGTGCAGGCAGCTGTTTGTGGAAGAGAGAAGCGAGTGGGTTCTGGTCCTGACTCTGGCCACGTGGCCCTGGCTTCCCCCCTGGTTRTCAAGGCAGTTACAGGAGCTGATGGCTGAGGTCTCCCAGCTCCCRCCCACCCTTGCCACCAGAGCCCCCTGCCCCGGCCCAGACCCACCTGATGGTGTTCTCGGGGTCACAGGGGCAGGGCAAGAGGCAGCCTGGGCCGTGCAGACCCTCGGGGCACAGTCGCTCCTGGCAGCGSGGGCCCTTGTAGCCGGGTTCACACTCGCAGGCTCCTGTGCTGGGCGAACACTGGCCCCCGTTGYGGCAGTCACAGCGCTGCGAGCACTGGAAGCCGAAGGTCCCGAAGGGGCACTCCTCTTGGCACCTGTGGAGTAGCAGAGTGGGCTGTGGCTGGGCTCCCTCACCTGCTCTTCCAGATCCTTCCAGAATGTTCCCTTCCCTGCCTCCCCAGCTGATGGCCTCCCTCCTTTCTCCTCCTCCAGGAAGCACTCCATGGTGTAGTTCACCCGGTCAGCTCCCTGCCTCAGGCCCGGTCTCCTTGGCACCCCAGCAATGAGTTTATGCACCCCAGCAATGACAATTATGTTTCACTGAGGCCAAACCTGATGTGTTTTCTACTGGTGGTGAACTCCATATGTTGTGGTTTAAATGTTTGTATCTCCTCCAGAATTCAGGATGGAACTTAGTCCCCAGTGCAACAGTGTTAAAAGGTGCTGCCTTTGAGATATTAGGTCACCAGGCTTCTGCCCTCCTGAATGGATTCATGTGCCCATAAAAGGGCTGGAGGGAACTAGCTAGGTCCCTTTCTTTGTCCTTCCATCCCTTGTAACACATGAGGACACAGCGTCCAAGGTGTCATCTTAGAAACAGAGACCAGGCCTTCACCAGCACTTTGATCTTGGCCATCTGGGCCCCCAAATTGTGAGAACTGGAAAACCATGTTTATAAATTACCCAATCTCAGGTATTTTGTCATAGCAGCATGAATGGACTAAGATGATGTTTAGTATAAAACTTATCATCTAACCACTAAAGCCACTCAGTGGCTTTAAATACATTCATACTGTCATGAAACTATTACCACCATTCATCTCCAGAACTTCTTCATCTCCACAAGCTGAAACTCAGCCCCAATTAACAATAAACCTTATGTTTAAAATATCTATCTTAACATGTCTGAAATCAGATAAGTCGTATAACTGATGGTGTGACATAGTTTAATTATAAGTATTTTTCATTCTTAGCAGTGTATAAAATAAYGATGCATCTTACAATCAGTGGCATCTTAGGTTTGATGAAATGGGGTAATTTTGTTTCTCTGTGTTCAGTTGGGACAGACTTAAAGTCTCTCTTCTCTGCTGAGCGATGATTCTCCTTCCCTAGGTGGGTCTTCCCCTGAGGAGAAGAGGCACCTCCTTCATCAGATGGGGGCCATTTCCTTTTCCTGGGACTGGACATCTCTTCAAGGCTGGGGCCAGGACTGGGTCTCTCCGTCACCTGTGAGCCCCCATTCCCACCCCCACGAGGAGGACTGGGCCGTWTCGTGTCCTGTGTGTGCTCCGGCTGGTGCTTAGAGTGCCCAGCATAATAACAATTATTCTTCACATGACTCACAACCCCCAGGTGTGGATCCTCTGTGGATGGATGTGACCCCTCTGCTGACTGAATGTGCCTCTTGCTACTGCCCAAGACTAGTTCCCAGGGCAGGCAAATTCATTGTCCTAGCAGCTAGACCCTGGCAAGGTAAGGGTAAACCTGGGGGTGACTCCTGCATCCCTATGACAAAGGGAAATGACCTCTGGCCTCTGGGGTTTAGATTCTCAGTTCCCCAGTGCTGCTGCAGTGGTGTGGACAGTGGAGAGCCGACCCAAAGGATACCCATGTCCTCGTCATAAAATGGGACATTAACGAAACCTCGTCAGCTTGTTTGGGGATTAAATGAGATAATGTGTGTGATGTTTAGAGAGGTGCCTGGTCTATGCTCAGTGCTCATTACGACATGTTAGTCATTATTATTGCTCCCGTTAATACTGTTTCTTAAAACAGAGCCCATCTGGTGTTCTGATTTTGGATCCTGACATGAATAGACCCAAAGGGAAGAATTCTCATGTTCACAGTGGGGAGAACTCGAGGAATTATGTGTTTAAATGCTCATGTTTTCCCATTTCTCGGGTGTTCTGTATGTCTTCTACAGTAATCAGGGGGAAACAATAAAATATTTTTTTAAAATATGGTCCAATCTTCTTTATTATATCCTTGAGGGTCATGGGTGAAACTGACCACAGGCAAGGCAGGGCGAGCCCATGTCCCTGAGAGCTCAGTGGCCCAACATGAGGGTGAGTGGCCACACCCCAGAAGATCTGGGAGGGTCGGTGGTGCCTGGGGATAAGAGCAGCCAGTGTGTCCCAGTGTCTTCTGTCATTGCTGCTCTGTTCCCACAGTGACAGGGACAGGGAGAGTAACTGGCATCTGGCCTTGAGCACTCCCCTTCCAGGAAGGAGAGGCAGCAGGGGTGAAGATGGCAATAGCCCCAAACGCCAGAGAGAAAGGGGCTTCCAGCCGCACAGCTGAACCCYGTCCCCAACCCCTGACGCCACTGATAATCTTGGAGGTGAGGTGACTGCTCCAAGCTCACGTAGCCTGTGAGTGGCCAAGATGACACTCGGTCATCTTCCTGCATATCCTGCTGCATGTCAACCAATCTGAGGCCCCAGGAAGAGAAAGAGGGCAGAAAAGAAAGMGAAGAAAGGGAAAGAGGGAGGGAGGGAGATGTCTAGAGAAGGAGTGGAGGAGGGAAGGCAGGAAGGAGGATGAGGCAGAAGGAAGGACCCGGACAGTTAGAGACCTGCAGAAGCACCATCTACCTGACTGGCAGGTCCTGGCTCAGCCTCAGGATGGATCTCTCCAGAAGTCACTGAGCTTTGCTTACCTCAGATGGCTCAAATGTCAGGAGGGAAAACTCACACCAGGAGACACCTCTTCCCCTTCATTGGAACGCTCCTGTCCTCTGCCTAGCAGGACTGGACAGAGCCCGGACATGAAGCTCCTCTGAAGGAGCTCCTGACCATACATTTTGAGGTGACTGATTCCACAGCCCCACAGAAAAGAATCTAGAAATGAAGTAATGGCAACCTAATCCATTTACATAATCAGCCTCTATTTTTTTCTTCCTCACAATTTAAACAACTTATTTATTTAGAGATCAAGCAACGATGGCTAATGAATTTTACACAAAGCATGCTAATAACGGGGCCTGTGGAACAGAAGGGTAATCACAGCAGGAATTAGTTTTCTACTTAAACATCCTTCCTTTGCAACATATCAATCTAATGTGTCCAATCCCGCCATTAACAACCAGATACATTGCTCAATTAAATTACAAAATGAGCTGCAAAGCCCTCGTTACGTCTTGTGTTTAATTTGCACTGGATTCAGCCTATCCRGGGAGGCCCGCGTTATTACACCCGCTCAGCGTTAATATGCTCGTGATGATTTGGGGTGGGTTAATGCGGCTGTCACCTACAAAATAAATGGAGGCAATTTTACAAAATATTAAACACCAGGCAGCCTATTTGGTTGGGAAACCCAAATGCTACGTGGCCCTCTGAACTGTCCTGTGGTTGATTGGCAAAGATTGCTGAAGGGGCCCTTGGCTTTGGGGGTTTCTGCCTGCCCACAGATCATGGGCCAGGTTCCAAGAAGAGATTCTGGACTCTCCACTCAGTCCATCTTGGCAGTGGACACTGCGAGCTGATGAGTTGGGTCTTCGGGGGTAGGGTCTGGCTGACTGGAACCCTGGGCCTGCTTGTTTCCAATGACAAAAAGGCTACATTCTTTCTCATGTGGAAGTGGATTAAAGCCAAGGGGTCTTGCTCTGATTTGGGGTCTTCCTGGTTCCTGTGCCCAGCGGCTCATCCTTATCGTTTCCTTACTTAAGGTGCTCTCGTCCTGGGTCCCCAGATGCCAAGCCCACACTCTGTGCCGGGAAGTCGTGTAGATGAACAGCGGTTGGCAGAGTCAGATGGGGCTTAAAGGCTTCAGACTGAGCCACAGAGGACCACGGTTAATGGATGGTCCCTCCTGTGGGCATCACTGAGGACTGGGGCCGACTCCAGTGAGAGCTGAGCCTCCATTTCATCCATTAGGCCCTGATGGACGCATTGGTTGACTCTGTTTTGATCCCGCTTCTGGACGTCACCCAGGGAAGGGGCAGAGGGATGGTGAACAAATGTTCTTCTTGCTTTGCTTTGTCTGGGCAGAGCAACAAAACCCAGGGCCAGAAGTGAAACACGGATCTGTGGAGCTGGGCAAGGGGGTGGGAGCCTCCTCGTCACTGGCCCTCTCGCTGGGAGAGACCCAGGTTGTGCAAAGTGAGGGGCAGGAGGCCTGGCCTGGGTCCCCCGAGCAAATGCCCTCCTCCAGCTCCAAGCCCACTCCCCACCACATACTCCACTTGCTGCTTCTCTTCCTCTGCCCCTGTGCTATCAGCGTGGCCTCTTTCCTCCAAGGTGGCCAGTGTGGACACGCAGCAGTTCCTCAGTTTTGTGGATCATCCACTGTGCCAGGCTGGTCTCATTTGAGGACACTGGGGCCCTGGTTCAGTCTGCTCTCGAGGCCATGGGCCTTCAGAGGATGCAAACTGATGTCAGTATCTTTGGAGGGGGACTCAAATTTAGGAGTAAAAGTCCACTTCTAGAAGAAACCATGCACTCAATTTGCACTCAGCTTCTCTGAACTGGCTGTGCCATCATCTCCCTCTGTTAGTGCAGACAGTGGGTAGCAGGGCTCCCCTCCTTCCCCCAGGCACACCAGAGCAAATTCAGGGACACTGGGCTGGGGAGGGGTTGCACCCTGCTGAGGAGGAAGGTTGAGTGGATGAATCCCTCTGGCAGGAGCACCCAGAATGTTGGCTGAGGAAAGAACTGGAAGGCGGGCAGACAGAGCGACGMGGGGTTGGTAAACCTCAGCCATTCCCTGCAAGGCTGCTGTGAATAGGCAAGAGTCGACACCTTACCTGTCACCCATGTATCCAGCGGTGCAGTGGCACTGTCCAGTCACATGGTCACACTGCCCTCCGTGGTGGCAAGGGCAGTCCTGGCTGCAGTTCTGGCCAAATGTCCCTGGTGGGCAGGRCTGGGCACACACCGCTCCCTGAAACAGAGTCGGAAGACACACACGGTGGCGCTCCAGAGAGGTCATGCTCAGCCACACTCTCCTAGGAATGGCACATCTGCTGGGCCTCAGAGACTGCCCCATCTTTCCAGTAGAAACAAAGAGATCTGGACACTATGTCTCCAAAGCCCTCCTCTTACAGATGGAGACACCGAGGCCTGCATGGCCATCTAACTATTTAGCACACATTTACGGCATGTGTGTTGTATACCAGGTGCTGTGTTAGACACCAGCCATACAGAAAAGGAGACTTGATTTCTGTCCAGAAGCCCAGCATCCATGAAAGACCAAGGCACAGGCAGGGTGAACAGGACTGTTAGAAAGTTTATAAAAGAAGGGACAAGACCCTTGATCTTTGTCCCCACCTCAAATAACCAGGTGATTTCCCAAGCCTCCAATAACTAGGTGATTTCCCAAGCCTTTCAGAGAGGTTGAACACAGTCCCTTTKGGCGCAGGGACCCAGGGAAACTGAGGGTGGGGTGTAGTTCTAACTGCAGAATCATCAGACCCCCTGCTGGCTTCCCCTCACTCCCAGAATGACGATTGCCAAACTACACTTCCTGTGGCAGGAGGCTGAGGGTCCCTTTTGGGAGACACTGATGAGCTCAGGAGAAACAACCCACAGATACTGATGTCTGAGGGTCCCAGCGGTCAACCCAGCATCTCCCTTTGCCTTTAGTTGACTTTTCTGAGGTTCACTGTAAAGCATGATCCCAAGGTCAAAGATCACATGATATCTGAAGTAGGTTCTCCTATGAAAGATGAAGACTGAAATAAAGAGACAAAAGGAACACAGCGGAATCAGGAACTACGCCAGGAGCAAAGAAAACTTACGGAGAAACCCTCTCTCATAATTAAAGTGAATATCCTCAGGTAGCTAGCCATTAGAAAGTATTCATGAAAGAATAAGAGCGCTACTAAAGGGGACAGCCAGAGTAAAGAGTTCTTGAGAATAAAAAAAGAAAATGGCACAAATTTGAAAATTGGAATAGGAAAGCTGGAGATTATTTGCTTGTTTGTTTTTGCAGTGCTGGGATCAAACCCAGGAATTCATGCAAGCTAGACAGTGCTCTACCCCTGAGCTCCACCCCAGCCCTGCAAGAGAGGTTGAAGAAATCTACAAAATGGAATGAGAGAAAGAGAAAGAGAGAGGGCTGAAAATAGTAGAGAAAACATAATAGAAAGAAAGGAAGGGAGAAAAGAAGGAAGGAAAGAGGGAGACAAGACCCTATCAAGGCATATTATTGTGAGTTTTTATATCTTTATGGGTAAAGAAATGACTCTAAAACTTTTTAGAAAGAGGAAAGCAGTCACATACAAAAATCAAGAAGCAAATTATTAGACTTTTAAACCAGAAACCAGAAGACAACAGGGAATGCCTTAAAAATATGGAGAGGAAAACCTGGGCATGGTGGCATATGCTTACTATCCCAGGAACTTGGAAGGCAGAAGCAGGAGGATCACAAGTTAGAGGCCAGCCTCARCAAGTTAGTGAGAGCCTATCTCAAAAATAAAAAAGGCTGGGGCTRGGGATGTGGCTCAAGGGGTAGCACACTCGCCTGGCATGCGTGCGGCCTGGGTTCGATCCTCAGCACCACATACAAACAAAGATGTTGTGTCCGCCGAAAACTAAAAAATAAATATAAAATRAATAAAAAAGGCTGGGGACATAGATTAGTGGCAGAGTGCCACTGGGTTCAATCCTCAGGACCAAAGAGAGAGCAAGAGAAAGAAAGCGAGAGAGGTGGTGGGGGGCATAATTTAATTTCCATCCTAGAATTCTACATCCAGCTAAACTAACACCCAGGTGGAGGATTCAGTAAACAAATTTTCAGATTTTTAACAACCTCAAAAAATCAACCTTCCATGGATATTTCTTGGATAGGTGCTAGAGGATTTTTTTTTTCTTTTTCAACCTAAAAGAAGAATTATCAGAGAAAAAGAAAGGAATGGGTTCCAATAGGTGAAAGGAGTTCAGGGTGGTGGAGAGAGAAAGTGCTAGATGACAACCACGCAGCAGACCCGGAAAGCAAGAGTTCATCCTGCAGTAGAAGCATGCAGGCTTCTGAGAGCGAAATGCTGATTGCCCTCTCCATGCCTGACGTTACTGAGAGATGTTTTAAGCTTCTGTCCAGGAGTCGTAGGTCTAAATTACTAACAGTGTGTACGTGGGCATATTAACATACACGTTAAACAGGATTGAACCCAAAATTGTAATATAATTCCATCGGGAGGCTGGGAGGAGGGTTGCTCGTGTCGATCTGTGTGCGTGGTGGACCTAAATCTCACTCTGTGGCAGGAAGTCAATAGATTCAGCTAAAATCTCAAATGGAAAAGTCGAGAAATGGCAGTAAAGCATGTTAGGTAGAAAAATGGAAGGAAATGCCAGAAGAAACATCTAAAAGGTTTAAAACTGGTTGTCTTCAGGGATTTGTATTTGGGGCAGGGGACCGGTTTCCCCTCCTCCCTCCCCTCCACTATCAGCCTCAGGGTATTTAAATTAGATAGATCTAGTAGTTCTTTATCGCATGGACATTGAGAGCCCAGTGCTGTCTCCTGCCACCCTTTCAGCCTCTTATACACCAGAGATAATCATTTCTCTCATGGAGATCAAGGATGATTCTCCAATTAATTAATCAATTAGTTCAACACACAATTATTAAGCACCAATAACTGCCGACCCTGACAAAGCCAGTTTAGTCAGGAGCAGGCTGCCAGACCAGGGTCATCTTTTGAGATGATCCAATTGAGTGGGAATGTAGTAAGTGGGAGGTCACTTAGCTCAGATCTTCCCCTCCACACATGGGCCACTGCGGCTCCGGCAGGAGGGACTGCAGGTGGAAGCAGTGGTGGGGAYTGCCAGGCTGGTGGGTGGGTGGAGTGGGGGGACCTCCTCCTCCTGGAGGTGGGGGTGGGGCACTGGGTGTGGCAGACCCCTGCTTTCCTCACYGTACCCCAGAGACTCAAGGCACTCATGAGTGACAAGGAATCTTTTTGGTTTTTGTGCAAGTCAGTCCTGGACTGCATAAGGACACCCTAACTCTGAAAAAGTGTTTTAAGCCAACTTGGGGTGCTGTGTCTCCCACACCCTCTTCCTCAAGCAATGTGGCCTCATGCATTCACACGCACGCACACTCATCGATCCCTCTTCCCTGGTGGGCCAGCCAGGGCTTCTGAACCAGTAGGACAGCTTGGTGCAGAGAAGGTCCCTTCCAGCCTTTCCTGGGGAAAATCAGATTTTTTTTTTTTTTTGGTCAAGTCGGGGAGCTCCTTTTGAGCTCTTGCTCAGAATTCCCAAACACCAGGTACCTGAAGTCCCTGAATCTCTAGGTCCCCCTGGCTTGGGGCTTCTGGGGCCTGAAAGAATTTTATTTCTTGGAGTCTTGCTACCTGGTAGGGTGGAGAGAACACTGGACTTTGCAAAGTCCAGACTTGGGCTCAAATCTCAGCTCTGTCTTCTTCCAGATGGTTGAGTGAGGACAAGTCATGGGATCATTCTGAGCCTCAGTTTTCTCATCAATAAAATGGGAGTGGTAACCCCTGGTCTCCCAAGTGGCTGTAAGGATTGAGATTGGAGATGCGAAGCAACTAGGTACAGCACCTTAATGAGTCTAATCTTAATGAATATTAAGTGGACCAACCTGACAGCTGATGAGGTGGCTCGAGACAGGAGCCCAGAAGAACCTGGGGCCTGGAAGAAAACTGTGTGATCCCTCATCAACTGCTGGTCAGAAGAGCAGCCTTTTGGGGAGCGCCCGGGGAGAGGGCAGACAGGAAGGTGTCAGAGAGAGAGGGTTTCTCTCCTGCTTCGAGAGACTGAATTGTGTCTCCTCAAGATTCTAAAGTTCAAGTCTGACCCCCCAGTACATCAGAGGTTAGCTATATTCCGAGGTCACCTYACAGTGGTGACCAAGGTGAAATGAGGTCATATGGGTCGTCCTGATCCACTGTGACTCATGTCCTTACAAGAAGAGGAGATTGAGACAGACACACAGARGGAAGGTCATGTGAAGACACAGGGAGAAGACGGTCATTGCTAAGCTGAGGAGTGAGGCCTCAGAAGATGCCAACCCTGCGGACACCTTGACCTCAGATTCCAGCTCCAGAGCCCCTAAGAGATGAGTTCCTGTGGTTTGAACCACCTACTTTGTTATGGCAGCCTGAACAGACTAATGCACCTGCCCTTTGGTCAGGAATGTCTCTAACTGTCGTGAGACCTTTGACTGTGTTGCTGGATAGGAGAAGAGTCAAGAGTTCTGCTCATTTCCAATGATGGCTGCTGTCCTAGAATGTCACAGGAGCCCTCAGTGGACAGTGAACAGTGGTTGGTGTCGGTGCTGTGATCCCGACCATAGGCCCTGCCATGGGTGGCCACGAACCATCCTTCCCAGAACTAAGCATCCTTTATGATCCTGCAACCTCAGTTCCAGAAGCCTCTCTGTGACCCTCAGTGATAACTGAACCCACTTCCCAGGTTCTCAGCCCTGTTTCTCTTCCAGCCTGTGGTTTCCTTCACTTGGGTATCTGGAGATCTGTGCAGACATGCATGTGGGGTGCATGCCCGCACCCCATCTAGCCTCCACCATCAGACTGGGAACTCCCAAGGGGGTCTGATCACATTCCTTCCTCCCTTCCCACCTGCCTCTGGTGCCCACCCGAACCAAACTACTCATAGTTTCTCTGTTTGGTAAGATCTCAGAGGCCGGGGGGGGGGGGAGGGGGAAATAACTCCTAGGTTTTTTGTAAAGGCCCCTCCAAAGAAGGGCTCATGACAGCTGGGCAAGTGGGGTATCCTGTCACATTGTCAGGAGCTGGTGGCCTGGAGGCCAAAGTTCCAGGCGGTTCCAGTTCTGCACAGTGTTTYTATCCCTTTGGGAGCAGCTGTATGATGGGAGTAAGAAATCATATTCCAGATGGTCTCTGAGTGGGAAAATCTGTGGCTGCAGCCATATGGGGGTCAACAGGAAAGTGAGGCAATGGAAGATGATAACAGGGGACCCTTCTCCCCAATGTCTTCTCCTTGGCCCTAACTCTCCCTGGGAGGAGCCTCAGGGCTGCAGCCTCATTATACTATGACTCTGCATGCGAGTGGGGTATTAATAATGCATGCAAATCTGCAAGTTAAATGCTATGTCAAAAATAGAAATGCAATTGTCTACAATAAAATTAAAAACATAAAGTCCTCAAATCCAAAGATTTCTATCAACAGAGTTTCCCATCATCTGGAAGAACAAACCTCTCACTGTGTTAGGGAGAGGGGGAAAAATGCCTCTGCCTGGTGGCTTCCCGCCCTCTCTGCCACCGCCAGCCTGCAGCAGCCTCTCTCCAGAGGGCTGGATGGGCTCAAGGTCTGCTGTGGCTTATTCTCCTTCATCACCTCCCCATCCCACCTCCCCAGCCGCTCCTGGGTCTATAAGGATCCAGCCTGCCCATCAGCAGATCTCTGAGAGGGCCTTTCCAGAGAACTGTTCAGCATAGAAGGAATGGACAGGGACKCGAGGGCATCAGCTCTTTGTCTTCCCCCCAAAAAGACCAACACAGGCAGCCAGGGCTGGCCCTCAGGAGTCCAGAGACCTGGATTCTGGGTCTATTTCCCTCATAATCAGGGACATGGCCTTGATGTCACTAGCCTCCCTGCCCTTAACTCCATCATCCAAGAGAGGAAGGTTTGTACAGACCAGTGGTGTTGAAACCTCTTAAAGCTAAGACACCCCCACTTTTTTTTTCTTTTTGTATAGGGGATTGAACCCGGGATTGCTTTACCACATCCCTAGCCCTTTCTTAATTGTTTATTTTGAGACAGGGTCTTACTAATTTCTTAGAGAGCCTCACTAAATTGTTGAGGCTGGCCTCAAACTTGTGATCTTCCTATCTCAGCCTCCTGAGCCACTGGGATTACAGGTGTGCAGCACAGTGCCTGGCTAGGACACCCTGTTTTTATGTGAACTCTTATCTAGAACTCAAATACAGAAAATAGATTAAGACAGAGCAATGKGGATAGGGTGGGAGCCAGAGTCCTAATTATTAGCCCTCTGACTTCCATTCTCTTCCTAAGAAACTGTAGCATTGTGTGGAAGAAAGAAAGAAATCGTATGGTTTTGATCAATTATTTCCAAATGCAGACATGGCTGGCTTCCTCGGAATCATCTGGGAGCTTATTAAAGACAGAGATCCCAGAAGGCTCAGGTGGAGCCAGGGAATCTGTATTTAGCCAATCCCATCCCCTCATGTACTCCAGTGTGCAGCTCAGTTAGGATACTGCTGGACCAGATGCTCCCCAAGGTCCTTTCCTTCTCTAAAACATTCTGCCAAGGCTGTGCCTGCCTCCCTGGGCCTGCACTTGTTCACCCTGGCTGCTCCYGCGACCTCTGCATTCACACCCTCCTGAAATATCCTGCTTCTGCTCAGCAGCCCTGTCGTCGGGACCCAGGGGAGGGCAGCCAGCTGTACCAATGAGCCCCCCACCAAAATGGGGTATGTTTCTGCGGACAGAGGCAGGATACAGCTTGGGAAATTCAGCCTCAGTGACCTAGCAGCTGCTTTAGAGCCTCAGGGAACAAGGAAGCAACWGATGGGCAGAGCCGGTTGGCTGAAAGGGAGCTTGTGGGTAGCCTTTGGCATCCAGAAATGTAAAGCAGGCAGCCAAAGATGCCTCAGCACTTGGAAAGCACTTCAGACGTGCATGGTCTCCTCCTCTGAGGCTCTTGCCAACCATGGCAGCCGTGCAGGGCAGTGTTTACTGTTGTTACATCAGCTCTGCACAGGGGATGCAGACACCAGGGAACCTGAGGCTTTCTCTCAGGGTCAGTGTTGGACACGAGACCTGAATTTAGGCCTCTAAGGTTGTAAATCCTATCCCCATTTCCTGCAATGGTTGTTCTAGACACAAGACCTGGGTTGATTGAGATTGCATCAGAAGCACCTGGGATGGTCATTAAAATACAGATTCTGGGGCCCACAGTATCTGATGTGTGAGAACACAGGGGGTGAAGTATTRTGAATTCAGGTGAACCATATCCTGCTGTCTCTCCTTCCCTAGCCTCTTCTGCCATTTTTGGTAGCTCATATGAGCACCTATGCCCAAACACAGAGACAATCTTTTTTTTTTTTTTTAAAAAAAATATTTTTCTCTCTTTTTTTTAGTTGTAGATGGACACAGTACTATTTATTTATTTATTTATTTATCTTTATGTGGTGCTGAGGATCAAACCCAAACATGTGAGGCAAGCGCTGCACCACTGAGCCACAACCCCAGCCCAACAGAGCTAATCTCATRAGAAAAATTTCTCTCTTTTGCCCATGACAAATCACAGCGGGGAGGTTAAGTAACTAGCTTTGGCCACATGGCACTTAGATTGCAGACCTGGGGTTCCGAGCTGTGTCCATGACACCATTGACAGAGTCTAATAATCCTTCTGACCATAAATGGGGGACTACTCAGGGCGGAAGGGGAATCTAACTTTTTAAGATGCATGTGAGAGATGCTTAGACCTTTATAGTATCCCACCCTGAGCCTGAAAGCCCACCTACCRTCCAACCTGGAGGGCAGGCACACTCGCCAGTGATGTGGTGACAGGTGCCCCCGTTCTGGCAGGGACAGCGCAGCTCACAGTGAGCTCCATGGCTCCCAGGGGGACACAGCTCCTCGCAGCTGCATGGAGAAATACAGTGTTGGATTAGCAGCATTCAGATCTCTGCCCCAGTGCTACTAGTCCCAATGATCCAGGGCTCCCTGGGAGGCAAGTTACTTAGGAATTAGTGTGTCCACACACAGGGTGAAATGTATTAGGCTCAGGGTAAACTGASWTGCAGTACTGTTCCCTGCCAGTAGGGGAAGCAGGGCTCAGATATAATATTCTGGAATATATTGTACTTGAGCCAGTATTTGAGGGATGACTTAAATGTTCTTAGTATGAAAAAGAGGAGGCTGAGGAAGACTTTCCTAAGAGGAATGAATTTTTCTTGGGGCTTGGSGAAATTAATTTCAAGAGCATGTCAGGCAGAAGGAACAGCATGAGCAAAGGCACTGAGGAGTGCCCATGGATCCTTCCTGCCTTCAAGAATCTGCYTATACTCAGAGAGGAATCTAGGACATGCCTCTTCCAGGCTCTGAAAGGCTCTCTGCCAGGTGTAGGGGAGAATGTGCATGGAGTCTCAGCCTTGGATCTTCATCCAATGGCCCTGGCCTCTAGCTCAAAGGGTCCTGGGAGCTGGTCAGGCATTAGGGCAGGGAGAACCTTCAGTCAAGGATGTCTCTGTGGTCAGAATCCTTGGCTGCTCCCTTGGGATCTAGGGCTGTTGGAGAGGTCACAGAACCTTCAAGAGGATTAGGGGGAGAAAGTCAATCACCTGTGAGAAGGCTCAGCAAAGCCATCTTGGAGGTCCCCTGTCTATATGGAGTCTCCAGGGAACTGGGGTGAAGGGCTGTTTAGGGTCTGACAAGGGAAAGTGGGGAAAGGAACGGGCACAGTAACCCTCCCAAATCTGCACATGATATATGCCCAGGGCTCTCAACCCCTCTCTATATCTCAAATGGCCTAGAAGGGTCAGTCAGGCTCCAGGTGAGCAGAGGCATATGATTTCAGGTCAGAAGAGAATTCCAACCTAATGGCTGAAGCCTCTCACCAGGAAGTGCCCTCTGGGAAGCCCGTTCAACATGAGCGCTTTAGGCCACCCAGGCACAGTCTCAGGTGGACCAGTCACCCCAAGATCTGGATCTGAGACCCGTGTGGGCAAGGCCTGGGCATTTAGACTCTGCGGGACTTGGGTCAGCAGACAGAAGATGTCACAGCCAGGACTGTCCAGACTCATCCTGCCCAGGCGCTGGGAACCTGGAACCGCAGTGCAGCTGTGGTGAGGACGACAACTCCGCCCCGCCCCGGCCCGCCCCGGCCCTCTCTCTACTCACTAGACGCCGGTGTAGCCAGGTGCGCAGAGGCACTCCCCTGTGCGAGGGTCGCAGCTGGCCCCGTGGCGGCACTGGCACGGCAGCTGGCAGCCCTTGCCGTGGGTGCCCGGCGCGCAGAGCTCCTCGCAGCGCCACCCGCGGAAGCCGGCRGCACACACGCAGGCGCCAGTGATGGGGTTACACAGGGCGCCGTTCTGGCACTGGCACCGGTTGCTGCAGTGGGGACCCCAGTGGTCGCTGTCGCAGCCTGCAAGAGAAGGGAGGGTCAGGGTTGAAGGTTCCCCKCCGACTTTCCTTAGAAAGGAGGTCAGGAATCGATGCTGATGAGGCCTTCCCGYGTCTGCATCACGAGGGGTGTCCAGGTGCCTCATAACCTTTGGTGTCTCATAACCTCCACCAGTTCTACCACCAAGCCACCCAGAGAATCACACAAGCTGAAAACCGACGGGACCTTGTTCCCTCAGCACAGCTTCAAAAAGCCTCTCCCAGTCTGGCCATTCTCTYCCAACCAAATGAGTGTCCCCAAGCCTCTCTCTCTCCTGTATTGAAATGCTGAAGTGACAAACTGCCTCCCTGTATCTCTGAAACTTTTCTTGGGTGGCTGTCTTTCTGTGTTCCCCTCAGTCACACCTCTTCTTAGCCCATCCACCACCCCTCTGTTCTGTGTCTTTATTCCTCCTCTTAGTTGCTCCCCAGTTCAGTCCAGCTTCATTTCTCTCTTTCCTGCCCTCTTCTCTCTCTTCTCCACACTCATGGGTTTTCTCATCTCTTGCACCTCACTCTGGGAACATCGCCGCCAACCCCCTCCCCCTCTCCTGGCTCCATCTCCCCATCATCCTTGTATCTCTTTTTCCCTTTCAGTAACCCTACACCCTGGTTGCTTCATCTTCAGTTCAATTTCATGACTTCCCAAGCAGCCAGCTTCAGAAGAGGCAGGAAAAAGAAAGGTTTCCCTGGGAGGTTAGAGAGGGTCTTCAAAACCTTTATATGACATTAAATGTTTCACAGAGTGATCGCTAAGCCAGCTTTACAGAAATCCACTCTACAACAGTGGAAAGGGGAGGAACGGTGAGCTCCGGGAAGATCACACTGCCTGCTGCCACCTTCCATTCTGACCCTCACCTGGTATGTACAGGACACACAATAGCAAGGTATCTGCACCACAGTTTAATTCCCCTGAATTCTGGAGGGAGGGTGGGGAGTGAGCTGAGGCATGGACAGGCACAAATAATGTTCTAGGAGAAGTTCAGTGGAGAGAAAGTTCGTCCCCAGCTAGGAGATCAGGTGAGGCTTCCTAGGACAGAAAGCATCTCTAGTGGRCTGTAAAGGCTGTCTCATTTGACTGCCTGATAGAGTGACCACCAGTCTTGCTTTCAGCACTAAAAGTCCCACATTCCAGGAGGTACCTTGGTCCTGAGCAAGCTGGAATGGCTCCTTACTCCACTGCTTGAAGACACAGATGAGCAGTTGATCATTGTGTCCCTGATTTCTAGAATTTAGACACTCAGAGAGGAACTAGGCAGTTGAGTAAGATCAGGAAGGTGTCATGGGGTAGGCTCAGTATGGCCAGATACAGTGGCACTCCAGTGTGGGGCATGCGCAAGAGTACAAGGTGAGAGTGGCTGTCGAGTACCTGGGTTCTTTGGGGGCCAGAGAGTTGTTTGAAAGGATCATTCCATCAACCCCACCAATCTCTTACCTGTCCYTCCCACTAGTTCAGTCAAGTCAGATAGTCAAAGTCATGGATCCTGGCCCATTATCCTTTAGAAGACAGAACTCCTAAGTCCCAGAATTCCCAACTTAAAAATTAAAATCCCCAACTTAAAATTCACTTAAAAACATCCCATTCCCCAGCAATGACAGAGAAATGAGGCAGAGCTATAGTGAGACAATTATCTACTCTATATCCCTTCTTCATTCCCGCCCCAAATATTTACACAAACTAAGATGACAAATTATGAGTGATCCACACCCCACACTTCCCACTTGGTGTTACAACAAGGCAAAAAATCAAGTCCTTTTATAGTTACAACCTCTACTCAAACTGAAAGAGGCTCACAGGACAGAGTGACAGTAGCAGTCCCACATAGCCCCACCCTGSCCTGTTTTGGGGACACAGACTAGCAGAATTACTGCTGAGGTATTTCTCACTCTCTCTGTTGCCAAACATGTATGCTTGATTCACATAAGCTTAAGGTACCATTGACTCCATTGTAATAATGACAACCACATTTTAAATGCTGTGTGCTGTGTGCCATTCTGAAAGCTTTATGTACGTTAGCAAAATTTGATTTAGATTTTATTATTTCCCCAGTTTACAGATGGGGAGATAAAGGGTCAGAGGAGTTAAGTGATTGACCAAGGTTATGGCAAGGGCAGGCCCAGGTCTTGTGGTTCCCGCTCTCTGCTGCAGGTAAATGGAACACTTTCTGGAGGATATTCTGAGGAGAGAAACTTGTAGGTGGCATTGAGGACAGGGTGGCAGCTACAAAGCAAAAGGCCAGGGATACCACAGAGCCTGACCACCTCCTCTCTGCTCAGCACTGTGAACAACCTCAGGATGCAGAACAAGGGATTCTCTTCATTTGTTGGGAACACAGTTATGCCCTAAGACCTTGGTTTTGTAGAAAATCACTGGAGTCCAAAGCCCGTTTGTCCTTGATGCTTCCCAGCGCACACAGCTACTCTTTGCTTATCAGGTGACCTCCATTCTTTCTGGCCCAGCCAAAACCCAGTAGGAAACAGAACTCCCTCTGATAAGGAAAGCAGAACATCACCACGAAGTCCATGTAATAACACTTGGGCATTTCGATTCCTCTTCTTTCCCACTCCACATTTCCCAAGCTCCGTGAGTGCTGGAAGGGGCCCTGCCTCTTGGAGTTCAGTCTAGCAGGGGCAGGGCTGCTGGAGAAGACCCCACACTTTGTGGAAGTGCCTTAGCAAAGGCRACTCAGGGGATTAGAGAAGCACGTGCGGACACCAGTCTACGCAGCCTGACACTCTGGTTTCTCACACCATAGACTGGTGCGTGAGCACACGTGTGCTTATGCCCACTTGTGTATGTTTTATGGGGCTCCTAAAATATGTGGGAAGAGCTCTGTGCACAGTGGGAAACCATGGAAATAAATGAAAAATATGTGGAGACTAAACAAGCAAAGCTACTTGGAACCATTAATAAAAGGGCCAATTGCCCCTCATATCTAAATTGACAGGAAAAGATTACATCCAATTTAGAATATTCTAATTAGGGAAGCAGGGATATATGTAATCCATCCCAGAGAAATTTCTCCCCGGAGTGTAAATGGAAAAGAATGTTAGGGTTCACAGAGATAAACTTCAGTTATCTAGAACATTCACTTAAAAACATCCCATTCCCCAGCAATGACAGAGAAATGAGGAAGAGCTGCAGCAGGTCAATTATCTACTCTGCTGAAGGTGAATTAAAAATCATCATTACTATAATTACAACAGGATGTTGCATTCTTCTACAGAAAATCGCAAACCCTTTCCAACTTGGCCTTGGACTGTCACCCCATCACACAAGTATTTTTTTTTTTTTTCTCCTGCCACAGACTCTCCTTCTAATTATATTTGGCCCTGGCTGATTTTTTAAGTGGCTATGTCTTCTCTGGGCAGCTACTAAACGCTTAAGGGGCACCCAGAGTGTATGACTAAAGAGTCTCCCCTCCCTGCTGACCAYGTCAGACTCTGGGATTCAGCCTTGTGGGCTCCTGGTACCCCATGGTGGGGGGAGTGGCTTCTCAGTGACTTCACCGTGGTCAGGCTWCTCAGCTGCTGCCTACCATTGATGAGGCGGTTCCTGAGGGCCAGGCCATGAGACAAAGGTAGAGAGTGGGTGTTTCTCACTTATTGTAGCAAGTGATATTATTATTTCCATCTTGCAGATAAGGAAGAGAGGCTCCGAGGGGTTAAATAACTTGTCCAGGTGCCACAGCTGGAGAGTGACTGGGAGTCAGAGCTGCAAATACCTGCTGGGTGTGGCCTGGTGTTGATGGAAGAGGGACCTGGGACTCTGGCAGCCAGCCTGGGCTTAATCAGCCATCCTCAATAATCCATAGAGACAGGACTCTCCATGAATGCCTTATTCAGAAGTGGGTTTGTGTGTGGATGGTTGTCATGGGTCCCRGGTTTTCCACAGGTGACCCTATTTCCCATAATTTGATTTTCTTGAGTTACTTTATTGATTGATTTATTCAGAATTTTCTTACCATATTAAAAGATATGGAACATAAATTTTCCATTTTCATCCTTTTAAGTGTATGACCCCGTGGCATTAATTACACTCACAGTGTGTGTGCCTTAACTTCACCACTTACAAACTTTTCCATTACCCCCAAAAGAAATTCCATCAGCAATTAAGCAATAACTCCCTACTCCAACCCTTTAGCCACTGGGAGAATTTAATTTTCTTTCTAAAAATGTTTGTAGATGGACACCATAGCTTTATTTTGTTTACTTAGTTTTTATGTGGTGCTGGGGATCCAACCCAGTGCTCACGTGTGCTAGCCAAGCGCTCTACCACTGAGCCACAACCCCAGCCCTAGTTTCCTTTCTTGATGTGCGTATATGCCTATTCTAGATATTTCATATGAGTGGAATCATATCAGTCTTTTTGTGTCTGGCTTATTCCACTTAGTATAATGTTTTCAAGGCTCATCGATGTTGTGGCATGATCAGAACTTCATTCATTTTAATGACTGAGTGGTATCCATTGTATGTGCGTTTCCCATTCTGTATTACCCATTTATCAGTTGATGAATATTGGGGCGGTTCCCCTTATCGACTATTGTGAATATATCGACTATTGTACTGCTATCTATGAACCTTGGTATTTTGTTTTCGTGTTTGAAGTGCTGGAGATTGAATCACAAATACCTTTTTGAGTTCCTGWGGATCATTTATTAAAGGGACACTAGGTATATATTCTCTATGCCTTTATTGACTTTTCTACTTTTATTAGGAAAAATCATTTGGTTGGCAACCATTTTTTTCCCACCACTTTTATATAGGCTTTTTTTTTTTTTTTTTTTTTTTGCTACTGGGGATTGAACCCACCCTTTTAAAATATTTTATTTAGCTAAATTGCTAAGTTCCTGAGGCTGGGTTTGAACTTGCAATCCTCCTGCATCAGCCTCCTGAGTGCTGGGATTACAGGCATCTGCCAATGTGCCTGGCTTGTATAAACTTCTTTACAGAAACTATGTAAGTTTCTGTATAAATTGCCTT